ACATAAGCTTAATTCATCTACTTGAAATGCAAGTTCATTATAATCATGCCTTTGTGTCGGCATGGTTAGACTTGAATTGCAGAAGATGTTGTAATTAAATGAAATGAGCTTATGGTTCTGGTGGACATACTTTCTCGCTTCTTTTTATTCATTTATGATGAATTTTCTGTTTGAGTTTCAGGTGAATGCAAGCTTGAGAACTTGAGGACCCTCTGTGTTGCTTGTCATGCTGATGTCACCACTGCACAGTGTTCCGAACGTCGTATTACTAGAAACAAAGCAAAGAAACTACTCAAAGAGGCAATGCAGGGCCTAATTAATGACGACAAGTGTACGAAAATTGATAATGTGCTGCAGGTGCTGTGATTTTCCTGCGAAAATATTTTGTTTTGCTTTCTGTTTTGCTTTCTGCGACAAGTCTATGTCCATTGCAGCGTATGGAGCTGGAAGAGTCATTGTTGACAATTCTCCTGGCATAATGCTAATAATGGACTAGATCAAAATGGCTCAATTAAATTTTAGTGCTTCTTCTATTAGTGAAGTTTCTAGAAAAAAAATATATCAAACGACGCAACGCACCTTGGGTCGCTATGGAAACAACCTCCTTGTATTACAAGGGTAAGGTCTGCGTACAACTGACCTCCCAGACCCCAACCTGTTGGGAATATACTGGGTATGTTGATGTTGATGTTTCTGTTGAAATTAACTTATGGATTTACTGGAGTAGATATTGGTATGTGCTATTAAATATATCAACTTTGTAGTTCTGTAGTTGGTTCGCACACGCTCATTATAGAACAAGGTGTTACACAATTAACTGGGTTAGAATATTTTTTGATGTAGAGAAAAATTGAAACCATTATGACAAGCAATGTGTTTACTAAACTTTCATTTAAATCAACCTTTCCAATCTCTTTGTAAGACGTTCATTTTTCCAGCTTTTTGTAAAACATATTAAGCACAAAATTCTAACCCAAACCCGTGGTTACTAAACAACTCAATTAAAAGATTTGATCGGTCAATCTCTACATTGGCTTGGAATCTCCAATATATGCTCGAATCTCTACTTATCAAACCACCCATAATCTTTTACATATTGCAATTTGTTTAATACACACACACACATATGTGTGTGTGTGTGTGTGCATATATCCGTCAATAAATAAAACTTAAATTTTTGTTTCCAGTCATCTCCGCCTTTTTGAATGGCTTTTCTGCGTTAGTCAGATCCTAAACTAGTATAGACATAATTTTAATTGAAATTTTGAACTAGGATCCCATGTGTTTATGGTGTTATATAAACATATCAGGGATGACAGTACTCATCTAATTTTTAATAACTGCATTATGTGTAGCCATATATAGATTCCCTGGTGCTTTAATTCTTGTTCACTTTTGCTTCCAGGTCTGTGACTTTGAGTACAAGAGTAAGGAAATGGATGACGATCTCTTCATTGAGATTCCGGGCAGTGCATATTCTACCACAAGTGATAATATAACCGACAAACTAAATCAACAGTAACTGTTCTGTTCTGGCTACTGCTATGCCCCAAAGAGCTTTTGACAGCCTAAATAGGTGCCAAGCAGGTCGAAGAGAGTGAAACCTGGGAAAAGTTAAGTTCTACAAAGCCATTGTCCTCTTAAATCTCTGTAGTTTTTTAATGACATTACTTTTCGTACAGCTGATGCATCATGATCTATTTTTGCCTACGTAATTTTTGTAGTCCTAGAAAGCGTAAAACATTGGCTACAACATTACTGTACATAGCAACTTATAGTTTTTTCTTTGGGAAAATGCAACTGAACTTTGCAAATATTCATACATTGCGACCTCTCCTACATCTTAACCTTTGAAAAAATGGACACGTGTATGGTCAAGATTTAGGAGAGGTTGCAAATTATGAATGTTCGTGAAGCAGGTTACATTTTACCCAAAAAAAAAAAAAAACTATTGGTTGCAAATTCTTTGACTCTCTTACTGTGGAGTCGATTCCATTTGTTGACCACAAGGACCATTTGTTGCCCATAAAGACCATTTCAGTCGATTCGAAGTTTGTAGTCTGTTACTCGGTTAGAGTTGTTTAACCATCAAGAGTTTGCAGTTAACAGTCAGAAAATGCTCCATATTTGTAATAATTATGCCCATATATCATTCCAATTGCTCGCATGCCAGTATTCAACTCGCCAAGTTTTGTTTGTTATTGTTGAATGAAGGCTTGATTGTTGGAGAAGTCTTTTTAAGTTTATTTAGCTAGTATTCTTTAGTTCTGCACATTCACTGTGAGTCAATATAATTATTTACATATTAAATAAAATTTAAATTCAATAATATAAAAATAAATAAAACAAGTTATTGTATATTATAAGTTTTTAACACGCTATTATGTCTGTCGGTGTTCCCTCTTGAATGACAATTCTACTTTTTGATTGGTATTTATTTATAACTGGTTAAGGATTAAATTTTAAATGACCACTACATTGTATATTAAGCTCATCTATCTATTTACTATTCCCTCCTATTTTTATTATTTGTCACTTTGGCTTGATCATTGATTAAATAAATGTCGTTTCGGATATTTTGTTCATATTTTTCTTTTTTAACTCTCTATCAATGCATAATGTCTCTTCATATCCCATCTCCCTAGTTCCCCATAACATCTACTGCCTCATATTATTAATATATGTCGTTTTGAGAAGTTGCACGTTAATTAAGAATATTT